ATAATAGTGATGATGATGATAGTGATGGTGATAGTGATGGTGGTGATGATGGTGATGATGGTGGTGATGGTGATGGTGATAGTGATGGTGATAGTGATGATGATGGTGATGATGGTGAAGATGATGGTGATGGTGATGGTGGTGATGATGGTGATGATGATGGTGATGGTGATGATGGTGGTGATGGTGATGATGGTGATGGTGATAGTGATGGTGATGATGATGGTGATGGTGGTGATGGTGGTGATGGTGGTGATGGTGATGGTGATAGTATGGTGATAGTGATGATGATGGTGATGATGGTGATGATGGTGGTGATGGTGATGATGATGGTGATGATGGTGGTGATGGTGATAGTGATGGTGATGATGATGGTGATGATGGTGGTGATGGTGGTGATGGTGGTGATGGTGGTGATGGTGATGGTGATAGTATGGTGATAGTGATGATGATGGTGATGATGGTGATGATGGTGGTGATGGTGATGATGATGGTGATGATGGTGGTGATGGTGATAGTGATGGTGATGATGATGGTGATGATGGTGGTGATGGTGGTGATGGTGATGGTGATGGTGATGGTGATAGTATGGTGATAGTGATGATGATGGTGATGATGGTGGTGATGGTGATGGTGATAGTATAGTGATAGTGATGATGATGGTGATGATGGTGGTGATGGTGGTGATAGTGATGATGATGGTGATGATGGTGGTGATGGTGATGGTGATGATGATGGTGATGATGGTGATGATGGTGATGGTGATGGTGATAGTATAGTGATAGTGATGATGATGGTGATGATGGTGGTGATGGTGGTGATGGTGATGATGATGGTGATGATGGTGATGATGGTGATGGTGATGGTGATAGTATAGTGATAGTGATGATGATGGTGATGATGGTGGTGATGGTGATGGTGATAGTATAGTGATAGTGATGATGATGGTGATGATGGTGATAGTGGTGATGGTGATGGTGATAGTGATGGTGATGATGATGGTGATGATGGTGGTGATGGTGATGGTGATGGTGATAGTGATGATGATGATGGTGATGATGGTGGTGACGGTGGTGATGGTGATGATGGTGGTGATGGTGATGATGGTGATGGTGGTGATAATAGTGGTGATAGTGATGATGGTGATGGTGATTATGATGGTGATGGTGATGATGGTGGTGATGGTGATGATAGTGATGGTGATGTTGGTGGTGATGGTGGTGATGGTGGTGATGATGGTGATGATGGTGGTGATGATGGTGGTGATGGTGGTGATAATAGTGATGATAGTGACGATGGTGATGATGGTGATGAAGGTGGAATGCCACACAACTCTATGCCGTGAACATACTCTCTTCTTTCAGCGACTCTCCTGCCTTCTCTTCAGACCTGGCCTCTGGGTTGACAGTTTCAGATTGAGGTTAGCAGGGATGGCGGTCGCCACCTGTAGAGCAGTGTCTTCAGCTGTTGGGCCTCAGACTCAACAAGAACATGATGGAAAAGTCCTACTTAACATTCAGTGTGGGTGTCACGCAGGTCCGAGACACACGGGCTGCACAGCTCTGCTGAGTCTCGAGTACTCACCTGTGGGTTTTGTTTTGTTTTTTGTTTCAGGCACCGAGCTGACCATTTCCCCAGACATTCTTGCTCATGGACATAACGCACATAACTCTGTAAATCATTGCTCCCATTGTGCAAGTAGAGAAACTGAGGCTCCAGGCTATGACCTTCTCAGGTGTATGTTCACTCTTTGAAACATGTGCCTGAAAGTTCAGTTGACGTCTGTGCCAGCTCATGTGTTAGCGTGAGTGGGTCGTGGGATGCCCAGATTAAACATTGTTTCTAAGTGTGTGGGTGAGTTTGTTTCAGGAGGAGTCAGAGTTTGAGTCAGTGGACTCAGAAGAGACCATCCCTTCCTAATGTGAAGGCAGGCATCATCCAAGCCCCTGAAGCTCTGGATAGAGCAGAGGCAGATGAAGGAGGAGTTCACCCTGCTTTTCCCTGCTTCACTAAGCTGGGACATCTCATATCGTCTCCTCCAGCCTTGGACTTGTATTTACACTATTGGTCCTCTGGGTTCTCAGGTCCCCCTGAGTCTCAAGACTCAGACTAAATTATACCACTGGCTTTCCTGGGTCTGGAACTTGCAGACCCATATTGTGAGACTTCTCAGCCTCCATAATAACAGGAGCCAATTCTTGATATTTATCTATCTATCTATCTATCTATCTATCTATCTATCTATCATCTATCCATCCATCCATCACGTCTATTATCTGTCTAATCAATCTAATCTATGTATCTGTCTTATCTATCATCTAATATATCCTGTCTATCTAATGTATTCTATCTTGTCGATCTAATCTACCCTATTATTTATCTATCATCTATCCATCCGTCATCTCTCTATTATCTATCTTATCTACTATCTATCTAATCTATCTATCTATCATCTATCTACATATGTATCTATCTTTTCTATCTATCCCATATGTCATCTATCTGTCTATTATCTATCTAATCTATCTACCTACTTATGTGTCTATCTTATCTGTCTTATCTATCTACTATCCATCAATCATGTATCTAATCTATCATTTATCTAATGTATGCTATCTAGTCTTATCTAATATATTTATTATCTATCTAACTATCTATCGATCTATCTATCTATCATCTGATCTCTCTCCCCCCCCCGCCCCCGTCTAATCAGTCTCTTCCCTCCTGGCTCTGTTTCTCTGGAGAACCCTGGCTCATGACAGTGTCACTCTGGGTGCGTGTGGAATTGTCTGCTCATTATTTTGGTCTCAGCTCTGTTGCCTTTTACTGCTTCCTTCTGCAAATGCACTTCAGTCTCTTCAACGTGGCTAAGAGCAGACAGCTCTGCCGTGTCTGGTGGTGGGAACCTGACGGTCCATTCATTCAGTGCTAAGCCTAACTTTTTTTTGCATACATTTATATAAACTCATAAATGACAGTTAGGTGACAGTGATACTGTCTCCCATGAGACCAAGAGAGTGCTGGGGGAGAAGATGCCTCCTGGAAACCACAGCAGGGGTCGCAGTGCTTTGACTCCGTTTGACTAAAAAAGAGACTTAAGCAATTTTCTCAGTATCTCCAATTCTTTCATTTCCTGGAGTTCACCTAAATATGGAACGTGTTCCTTTCTTGCGCGAGGTGTCCGTGAGACATACTTAAAACCAGTCAGTACCAGTGTTTCAGTAGAGAGAAACCGTCCACCCGTATATGTTTATATTTTCACAATGTGGGTGTTAAAGAGAAATAAAAATGGAGGCCACACTTTGGACATACCTTGTGGTCAGCCACCCGTAACCTCATAGCTGGAACAAATCATCCTGATAGCCTAAAACTTGTAGCTCTACTCATACTGAAACACAAAACGTAAGCTTCACATTCTTATGACTGTGATTCAGTGACATTAAACCAATCAGCCTTTGACAAAACAGCTCAGACAGCTCTACCTGTGCTAAAAAAAAAAAGAGTTAAAGTGGGCCGGGTGCGGTGGCTCACGCCTGTAATCCCAACATTTTGGGAGGCCGAGGTGGGTGGATCACCTGAGGTCAAGAGTTCGAGACCAACCTGGCCAACGTGGTGAAACCCCATCTCTACTAAAAATACAAAAATTAGCCGGGTGTGGTGGCAGGTGCCTGTAATCCCAGCTACTTGGGGGGATGAGGTAGGAGAATCGCTTGAACCCGGGAGGCAGAGGTTGCAGTGAGCTGAGATCACGCCACTGCACTCCAGCCTGGGCAACAGAGCAAGACTCCATCTAAAAAAAAAAAAAAAAAAAAAAGTTAAAATATGCTAGTTAATCCTGCAAAAGTTGGAATACTTCCTGTTTATGCGTTATGAACTGCTGTGACTGCCATAGGCAAGCTTTCTATACTTCGTTTGAAGTTTCTTGGATTGTGAGCTGTGCCTTCTCTAACTGTTTGACAATAAACTTAAAAATTTTTCCTAAGTTGATAGGACTTCAGTGTTGACAGATACAATAACTTCCTACCGTAGCATTTGGGTGAAGAATAAATGAATTAGTGTCTGTTAAGTGTCATGCAAAACTGCAGAGAGAGCTATGTAATTGCTAACTTCTTCTTTTCAGTTTATTTCCCTCTGTCTGGTAGCTTCTACGTGCGTAATTCGTGTATAAACACACAAGACATATTTATTACCCTTACATTTTAAGCATATCTTTAAAAATAAATCTAAAAGTATTCAGTGTATCTATCCTCCTCCTGCATGAGACAGGGAAATTAGCCTGATTTAACTTCCGCCCATGCTCACCCGTTCCCCCAGCACCCACCACACTGTCGTCAATTATTTTGTCAGATGTTGTTATTTTTTGTTCTTATTTATCACCAATGCCTTTTAATATTTATGACGAGGCTTCAGCATTTGTTTGCTGAGCCTTGATTTGTCACACGAATGTGTCTGTGTTTCTGGCAGTGCAGAGTTCGGGGCTCGCCCTGGTGATTCCTCTCCTGTGAAGGCGCCATTGCTCCTGCATCCTGAGGGCTCCGCTGCCTCTGCGTCCCGCTGCAGGTGAGCCCCTGCAGTCAGTTCCAGGATGCTTCTGTGTCGATGGCCTGCTTTTGACCTGCAGAAGTGTAGAACTCCTCTGTGTGTGATGTGTCCAACTGCCCTAGATGGACCAGGAGAGGGTTTTCCGTAAGCAAAAGGGACCTACCCATGACCTCCTAGAACGGGTCTTTCCTCTATTACCTCTGCCATCTTCTGGCCATCGTAGTGGGCGTGTGTCAGACACATGGGGCATTCAGACAGGTGGGGGATAAGGCTCTGTGTGTCCCTCCAGCCTTGGTGCAATTCCCGCTTCCCGTCTCCGGCTGCGGCTGTCAGAGCATACTGGCCTCTACAAGCGCATGCACGCCTGGCTGAAGCTGTGAAGACGGGCTGCCTCTTCTCTACAAGTGAGAACCTGAGTGGGCTCTCCTGTGCTTTATTTCAACCTTCAGAATGGCAGATGCCCCCTGCCCGTGTGGACGGGGGCTTCTCATGGCCCAGAGTCTCCAGGTCAGGCCTGTCCCCACCCCGGGACTGAAGCCTGCTTGGGTCTACTCCTGCTGCCTGGAGACCACTGGGCCAGCGTAACTGCCCATCCTCTGTACACCAGGAGCTCCTGCAGCTGAAGCGAGGCTATGCTGCACACCCGCCCAGCACTTCCACACGGCCCGGGCACACCTGCCCAGCACTTCCACATGGCCCGGGCACACCCGCCCAGCAATTCCACATGGCCCGGGCACAAGTGACAAGCCCCTGCATCCTGCCGCTGTGAGAAGAAAGGACCCTCACATCACAGAGGAGTAAGGTGTGGCTCTTGAGCTAAAAATCATCTGTGAAGTTCTCAAATCATCTCTGATGGATGGGTCTTTTCCTTTAATTTTTTTAGAAAATAATTTTGTATTAGGTTCATTACTTCCCTTGACACTCCTCCTTCAGCTGGAAAACCAGCTCCAAGCTAAGATAAACTTCAGCTAAACACTGGAATGGAATCCAATTTAGATGCCCCACTAATTCAGTAAAGCTGATTAACATGGCTCTGCTTTTCGAATCCGTTTGGCGGGCTGCAGGGTTTCTGTTTGGTAAGCAGAGAGGAGATAAATGGGTCACTGTGTTTATGACTCACCATTCCCCTTAATGTCCACACTGGAGAGAGTCCGTTCTGATTACAATTAAAATGCTTTTATGCCATTTTAGCAGTAATCGAGCGAACCCGGCCATTTGTGCTTTGATTCTCTCAGTTAAGTAATTGATGATCACCAGCCATCATTGGATGATAACATTCCATCACTCGGCCTCCGCCCGTGACTTAAAAAGAGCCGGGACTGTGCTGCTGAGTCACTCAGGGAGTCGGCCTCTCGGGGAAAAGTGGGCACTTCCTTACTGACAACGGCTTCTGGAGGTCACGGCTGTTTGCACAAACCTTCCCAGGTTTAGGAGTTTGATGTTACCTCGGAGGGCTGTGGGTGAGCGTGGGTGATGGTGCAGGCCCAGGAACCCATGTGGAGGTCTCAGCCTCCTTGATTAGCCCCAGACAGGAGCCAAATAAACACGAGTGGGAGGCTCTGTGGGCAAGTTTGTAGCCAGCCTGCGGGTCCTGCTGGAGTCCGGAAGCCACAGGAGCCATCTTCCTTCCTGGGCAGCCGCCGCGCGGAGGAGGAGCCCACACAGGAGTCAGGTTCTGAGGCTGAGTCGGTGCCTGGGAACAGAAGGGAGCCCCAAGGGGACACTGGGTACAGCTGGGGGGCCGTGGGCTCTGAGTAAAGACTTGAAAGGGTTGTGACATTGGCGGTGGGACTTTCCAGGGAAAGGCGACAGCTCCTTGAAGGGCCGGAGGCCGGAGGCCAAGGCAGTCAAGAAACAGCAAAGAGGAGGAAGAGCAGTTGGAGAGGTAGGAGGACTGGGTGTGCCCGCCTGGGGGGCTGAGCAAGGCGGGCTAGAGGGAGGGAACAGGAGGACTGGGGCCCCAGGCTGACCTCAGCCTAGGGGAGTGGCACCTGGGTGTACTTTGGGGGCCTCCTGGGGCCCCTCACGTGAACCCTGGCGCTACACCTTCACTTTGCTAGCAGAACGCACCTTGATGGGGCTGGCGCCAAGTGGGGACCAGTGCCTGACTCCGGAAGGAGGGGATGGAAGCTGGAAGGCTGCTCAGGTGTGGGCAGCACTCCCAGACCACAGCCCAGCCCTGTGAGGACTCGCACAGCCTGCAGGAGCAAAGGCCACAGCACCCAGGCTACAGGTGCGGGAGGGATTGGAGTGGGGAAGGGCAGGAGGGGTTGGCACTCAGGGTTCAGGTGCGGGAGGGATTGGAGTCGGGAAGGGCAGGGGGGGCACCCAGGGCTTCAGGTACGGGAGGGATTGGAGTGGGGAAGGGCGGGAGGGCACCAGAGCCCCATCAGGCCCTGGCACTTCCAAGGGGGAGCTGGTACCACTTGCGGCTAATACAAAGAAGGGCCTCCTGGCTCACTTTGGACACAAACCCCTGTCTGAGCTGCCTGATCTCAGATGCCCCAGAGAGGAACGTTCCTGCATGGGGCCAGTTGGCTGGCAGCCTGAGGGCCTTTCCTGAGATCCCTTTCTTGGGTCTCCCAGAGCCATGGGAAGCAGACCCCGGCCACTTCCCTGGTGACCAGCTGGGGCCAGAGGGGCAGCCAGTCTTGGGTGGCAGAGAGGATGGTGAGGCCAGGCCCTGGGGACTGCAGGGAGGCAGCTCCAAGGAGGACCCCTGCCTTGTGAAAGGGCCTGGTTGCCGCCTGGAGGAGCTGGGGCTGGAACGCAACCCCTGACTCGATGGGAGAAGCAAAACCAAGCATCCCTGCAGGTGCCTCTGGCCTGTGCTGCATAGGATGCTGCTGGCCTCCTTTCCCTTATTTCCTGGGGCACAAGGGAATGAGCGGGGAGGATGTAACCTTCCAGGTTGCAGCCATGGGAAGATAAGGAAGGGAAGGGGGCCTGGGGGGAGATAGTAGTGGGGCAGGGCTGGGAGAAGGTCAGGGCCCCAGCAGAAGCTCCCGCTGACAGGCAGGTGGGGTCTGCCCACTCCCCTGCCCTGCCAGGCTGCCTGCAGTGCCCACCCAGACCAACTTCCTTTCCTTTCCACAGCCTCGCAGTGGCCTCAGGATGAGAGACCCTGCTAGGCAGTTAGGAGGAGGGTTCCCTGTCATCTGCAAGAGCTGGTCCTGCTAGAGCCAGTCAGATCCCTGAATAGCAGGAGATGAAGGTGAAGAAGAGAAACTGAGCGAAGCCCCGTGTCCCAGATGGCAGCCAGAGGCACACGTGCAATTCGGCGTCCAAGCTACCCGTGCTGTGTAACAAGCGGCCCGGCACTGGGACTTCAGCCCACAAGAGCTGCTGTTTCTCAGGGTCGGTGGGTTGGTGGGGTCCCTGCTGACCTGGGCTGGAGGAGGAGGCTGGCCCCCCTCACATGCCTGAAGATCAGCAGGCGGGCAGTCTCAGCTCTCCACTGTGGCCTGCCCAGCAGCAGCCCTGGCACCATCACAGGCTGGCCTCCTGGCTCCCAGTGAACCAAGACAGCGCAAGCTCTGAGGTGCAGGCTTTCAAGTTTCTGCTGAAGCCACGCTGTCCAATGTCCCAGCAGATTCCAGGGAGGAGAAATAGATTCTGCAACACAATGAGAGTGAGTTCCCCTGCAGGGGGCTCTCATGGCGATGGGTGGGAGGGCCCTGCCCTCGGTGCTGACAGCCCACCCCGCCAAAGGGCAGGTGCAGGGAGGGCAGGCGGCAGGAGGAGGAAGCCATGACCTCGTCTCGTCAGGGGTGTCCGGGAGCAACTCCTCCCTGACCACCCGGTGCCTGGAGGCCTGCGGAGTGTCACTTAGCCTCTCCTTGCCTCAGTTTCCCCAAGAGTAAACTGGGATAGGAAGGCCCCTCCATGGCTCCACGTCAGCACCCATGGGTGATTGGGGTGGAACACAGCACTTGCCTGGCCTGCTATAACCACTCAACAAATGTTTGCTGTTAGTGGTATTCCCCACCACGTTCGCACTGTCCATGGTCAAGAAGGAATTTGGCAAATCGTATTAAATATTTGCTCTTACTGTTTTTTATAAAATGGATAAATATCCTCTTTAAAAATTCAACTCCAAAAGAAAAATACAAATCAAAAGGCAGAAGGTGGAAGCCGCAGCCAGACTTTCCCGAGGCTGGAAGCTCTTTTCAATGATGGAATGAACTCAGTGTGGTCTGAACAGGTGGACGCGGCCCCGTGGGAATGGTCGACTTAAACACGCGGCCGAGATCCAGGCTGGTCTCGAATTCATCTTCAGACCTTCCGGAAACCGTGGCTCCCTGGGGTGCTGCTGAGTGTCTGACTGTGCAGCACGTGGAGGGTCAGTTTCAGGCTGAGAGGGCGGTTGTTCATGGATCTGTGGGAAGGGGCTGATTGGTTCCTGTGGGCCCTGGGGATGGGGTGCAGAGGGTGGGTGATGACCCGGAGTTGGTCTCTCCCTGAGTTTCTGGACTTAACACCCAGAATCGAGTCCTGCATGCAGAATCCACAGAGAAGATGGATGTGAGTTGAATGACTGTGCCCCAGCGTTCCTGAAGGCTCTCCAGGTGTCCTCTGCGTCCCAGGGCGGGCCCTCCCCTGCACCCCACCACCCTCCACTGGCCCTGAGCATCCCCAGGCCTGGCTGTCCTTCACATGCGTCTCCTTATCCTGCCGCCGCCCTCCTCCCTGTTAGGGCCCCACCCCTGTGCCTGCCCAGTTTAGGGCCCCACCTGGTCATCAACTTCTCACATTTGGCAACTGGCTCGCTCTGTCCCCAATTGTCCACTGGCCATGGGAATGGGCCCTGCACAGAACTCTTTCACCACTGGGCCTGAGGCGTGGCAGGGAGCACAGCCCCCCGAGGAGGAGGATAGAAGGTGGTGAGTTGGTGGGTGGGCTCCACACGGTGTGATGTCACGGTGGGAGGCATCTATACCCACACGGTGTGATGTCGTGGTGGGAGGCGTCTGTACCCACACGGTGTGATGTCATGGTGGGAGGGGTCTATACCCACACGGTGTGATGTCGCGGTGGGAGGCGTCTGTACCCACACGGTGTGATGTCGCGGTGGGAGGCGTCTGTATCCACTGTGGGGATATCAGTCGATATCCACTGTCGATATTGCTCCCCGACAGTCCCCCACTGGGGCCCACAGGTGTCCACAGATCCTGCTTCTTTTCCTGATACCAGGTCGGGGTCTCCTCCTGGTTCTCTGTCTCCAGGCGTGGGGTCAGTCCTGGCTTCCATCCGGCTTTCTGGAACGTGGCCTGAGGTGGAGGTGCTGCTTTGGCCGGGCCTGGGTGTTTGTGGAACTCGCCTGTTCCTGACCCTGGCCAGAGCGCTCAGGATGACGAGGACAAAGCAGAGTGTCCTCAGCACACCTGAGCGGTCACCGGAGATGGTGCGGTCAGCTGCCAGGCGATTTCCCTGCAGAGTCGTTGTCTGTGAACCTGGGGAGGGTGTGTGGTTTAGACGCTGCCATTTGAAGGTTGATCGAAACTTGCACCCATTTGAACCTCCAAGGAGCACTAATGTCTTTTCTGGAAAGCAGACGGTCACGCGGCCCCATGTGGGGACTTCGAGTCCAGCATCATCTTCATCTGAAACTTCCTTGTCATGCCGAAAATGAGGTGTCATGGCTCATTCAAATGAATATTAATAAATACAAAGTTTGCTAACTTTCTGAGTCAGAAATAAAACCCTTAAGCCCCTTAAGCCTCAATCTCATATTCTTGCGATGTCTAAATATTGCTTAAATTTGGGGCTGGATTCCACTGCTGTCATATTTTACGAGTCACAAAAACTGTGACTTTGTTTCATTGTTTAATGAAGTTGTAAATGTCAAAGCCGATTTAGTGCCTGCAGTGAAGGTTCTTTCTGCTTTACTGGGCATCTGATTAAGAATTTATATTTCATTTAATTTTCCGTGTGCAGACTAGAAATAAAGCGTTTCTCTCTGATTTCTTTTATGAATAAAACGATAAAACTTATTTTTCCAGTAAGTTCTTTGATGTGTGGGGGAAGTGTCTGAGGAACCCTGGAACTGTTGCGTTGGGGGTTTGGCGTGCGGTGCCCGGAGCAGACGGTGTATCTGTCATCAGCCACCATGAACGCAGCACATGACAAGGACCCCAGCAGCTCAGGGACAGCGCATATGGACAGTGGGCTCAGCTCAGGACGATGGGTCAGCGATGTTGGCAGGCGCGGACTGGCAGTTCCCTGGCCTGAGCTGGACTCCGTCACTTGTCCTGGTCACTGAGGGTCGATGACCTGGGTTGGCCTGGGCTGGGCGGCCAAGGTGACCTGGTCCAGCAGGCCAGCCCAGGGGTGCTCAGGGGTGCTCACAAGGAGATGCTGAGCCTACAGGAACGGTGGCACCCATGCCCGTGTCTGGAGGTCAGGAAGGCTCAGGAGCCGCCAGTGTTGCTGTGGACATTTCGTGGGTGTCCTGTTTGTTACCCACTATATATTTACATAAATCCATATATTTATATAATTACAAATCAGCAGTTTGTGTCAATTTAATTAAATTTCTTATAAATTGGGCAAGGAAGTAGGATTCCCACATTCGAAAGAAAACGCAGACACGGCACACAGAGGCTTGGCAAAGCATCAGAAAAGAGGAGACGGAAGTTTCCAGAAACGTAGAGTTTAGGTAAGTAAAACAAATAAGAAAGAGAAAATAAAATCCAGAATATGGATGAGGTCTTAATGAGAACAGAATACATTCCCCGTTCAGTGAAAGAATGACTGAGTTAGAAGACAAAAGTCAGCTCCATGGCTTAGAAGAAACACTTGAAATTAGGTGGCATACAAAGGTCAAATATAAATCAGTGGCCATTTTAACTTCATTCCTGGAAGAAGATACACTTAAAAGCAGACAAGAGGAAAGGAGATGATTACATAACGAAAAATTGTCCATAAGAAATCTAAGGCTGGGCACGATGGCTCACGCCTGTAATCCCAGCACTTTGGGAGGCCGAGGCCTGTGGATCACAAGGTCGTGAGATCGAGACCATCCTGGTCAACGTGGAGAAACCCCGTCTCTACTAAAACTACAAAAATTAGCCGGGCATGGTGGCGAGTGCCTGTAATCCCAGCTACTCGGGAGGCTGAGGCAGGAGAATCGCCTGAACCCGGGAGGTGGAGGTTGCATGAGCTGAGTCCACGCCACTGCACTCCAGCCTTGGTGACAGAGTGAGACTCTGTCTTCAAAAAAAAAGAAAAAAAAGAAAGAAATTTCATTAAATAGACATAAGCTGCTAACTTATATTGGTGTAAATATATGGAAGGTAGCAAATATATTTATACACCCACTAAATGTACAGAGCAAAAACTACCAGAAAATCCAGAGTAATGTGAACAAAAATAGAAGCAGAATAGGGTGTCCGCATACGTCTCTCGGAATCGCAAGCAGAAAATACATCAAAAAGACTATCAGAAACACAAACAATGAACAATACAACATAACTCACGTTCTTCAACAAGAAAACATCACGCTTTGTCCTGTCACCTGAATATTCCAATAAATGGATTGCCCTCAGCCACCAAGTAAACCTTAACATATTTAAAAAGGGAGAATCGCACAAATTGTAAACTCTGTTTATAATCCATTTATAATCACAAATTATAAACTCTATTTGTAATCCAAACTATAATTTGTGAGATTATGAACTGTATTTGGTTTCTAAGCATTTGACGTGCAAAAATGGTTAGAAACCAAAAGAACCTACTAACATCCTGCAAGATATCAACACGTGAAGAGAGAAAATAGAAATTTAATAACAGTTAGAATGTGTTTGTTTTTTGTTTCTTGAGAGGGAATCTCGCTCTGTCGCCCAGGCTGGAGTGCAGTGGCGCGGTCTTGGCTCACTGCAGCCTCCACCTCCCAGGTTCTACCTTTCCACAGAGGCAGTCATTCTGTCATGGGACCCACCCGCCTGACCTCATCTGGCCCTAATAACCTCCCCAAGGCCTCACTTCCAAATACCTTCACACCGGGGATCGGGGCTTCGACATATGAATTTTGAGGGCACAAAACATTTAGGTCACTGCAGCAGTGATCCCATGTTCTTGGAGAGAAAGGCTTCATAGGAAAACCAAAGCCAATTCTCCCAAAACTAATATAAAAATTCAGTGAAATCCAGGGAGAAAGTCCGCATGGATTTATTGTGAGGATTGGATGGAATGATCTTCCGGTCCGTACAACGGTCTCCGAATGCTAAGAAAATCGTCAGAGGACTCAGTGGTTTGTCTTAGTCCATTTGTGGTGCTACAGAGAAACACCCAAGGCTGCCCAGTGTACCAAGAAAAGAGGTTTATTTGTCTGCCAGTTCTGCGGGCGGTACAGGAAGCATTGCCCTGGCCTCTGGTCCTGGGGAGGCTCAGGGAGCTTCCTCTCATGGACGAAGGGAGCTGTGTGCAGAGATCCTGCATTGAGAGAGGAAGTGAGGGAGAGAGAGGAGGAAGACCCCCAGCTGTTTAACAACCAGCCCCTGCAGAGTGAGGCCCCCCAACTTGAGGACAGCGCCAGCCATTCCTGAGAAGTCCGCCCCCACGACCCAGGCACCTCCCACCAGGCCCCACCTCACACGCTAGCAATCACATCTCCACATGGAGTTTGGGGACAAACGTCCTACCCTAGCAGTGGTTCTAGGAGGAAGAGTCCATAATCAGGTGTTGAGCTATGGAGATGTGGAAATGGGAACAGTTCCGTAACCTCGTGAGAATGCACGACTCGGTCTGTGGGAGGGGAGAGGGCTGGGTGGGTCCCAGCACCCGTGGGCTGGATTGGAAAGGAAGGCGGGCTGGTCTTTAGTCCCAGCATGAGGTTAGATTATGTGTGTGCAGGGGCGAACCCATTTAAATCAGCCTCTGGGCACGCAGACCCCTCCCTGTGAACACAAAGGCCTCTGAGAGAGTCTGAGGTCGAGGTGGTGACGGAGCTGTGGCCCATCTCACCCCATTTCACCCCCTGAGGATCTTCCAGACACAGCCCGGCAGGAGAGGCGGATGGAGGTGCAGCTACACGGCACACAAAACGAGCTTTCTGTAATTTTCCAGCTCGACAGAAGGGGCGGCACTCACAGAGCCTTCTGCTAACACTGCACATCTGAAGAACTAGTAGCCGAAGATGGGGTTGGAATTTAAAACTTGCCTCGTCACCCGCATTCCCAGATGTGCAGGGCCGGGCGGGTGCCGGGAGCTGATGTCGGGAGCTGGTGCCACAGCTGCCATCTGGGTGTCTCTTCTGGTCGCCTCTGCTCCCTGCACCCTGGGGAGTGGAGGAACCGGCGCCCAGGCCCTTTAGCGAGAAAAGGGAGAGGGTGCGTTGTCTTCACGGCACGTGGTCCCAAGGTCTCCCGTGGCAGCCTCAGAGGCGCCAGCACAGCGGCCTCTCGCTGGGAGAATCTCAGCAGCACACACGCCCTGCCCACCCCTGGCCCAGAGCAGTTCTGGGCACCCAGCTGGTCGCTGAGCTGGATCCTCCACGGCCCTCCTGCATGTGGGCACTGACCTCAGCTGCTCTGGTGCGGACCCCAGCAGTTGCAAGCCACCTCCACCCCCTCCCCTTCCCTGTCTCTTTTCCTCTCTCTCTCCTTGTCTCTCTCTCTCTCTGCCTCTGTCTCTCACTGTCTCCCTGCCTCTGTCTCTTGCTATCTCTGTCTCTCCCTGTCTCTGTCTCTCCCTGCCTCTATCTCTCCCTGTCTCTCTGCCTCTGTCTCTCTCTGTCTCTGCCTCTGTCTCTCGCTCTCTGTCTCTCCCTGTCTCTGTCTCTCTCTGCCTCTGTCTCTCCCTATCTCTGTCTCTCCCTGTCTGTCTCTCTCTCTCTGCCTCTGTCTCTCCCTGTCTCTGTCTCTCTGCCTCTGTCTCTCCCTGTCTCTGTATCTCCCTGTCTCTGTCTCTCTCTCTCTGCCTCTGTCTCTCCCTGTCTCTGTCTCTGCCCCGTCTCTCTCTCGGCCTCTGTCTCTCCCTGTCTCTGTCTCTCTCTCTGCCCCTGTCTCTCCTTGCCTCTGTCTCTCCTTGCCTCTGTCTCTCACTGTCTCTGTCTCTCTGTTTCTCCCACTCTCACGTCCTCACACCTGTGCTTACCCTGGCCTGGAGCTCTGTTCCCGTCCTCTGGTCCCTTCCTTCCTCTTTGACCCCCGACCCTCACCTCCAGGAACCTGCACTGATGCCAGTGATCTCAGCCCAGCTGCCCTCACCCTCCCTTATGGGGGAATCCCTCATTCCCCTCCGTGCCCATGGCCTCCTTCCTACCAGCATAGCTCAGAGGCAGGGGTGCTGACCTGCATGGATGGCCATGATGGCCTTCAGAGACAGATGTGGTGGCTCACAGCTGAGCAGAGAGGCCTCCTGTGTGTGCCCAGATGAAGCTGGGGTGCCAATGGGACAGAGGGACTCAGAGAGGAAGGAGAGAGAGTAACATGGAGAGGATAGGGAGGACACAGAGAGGAGGGGGGATGAGGGACTCACAGAGGATGCAGGGTATGGGGGACTCGGAGAGGAAAGAGAGCACCTAGAGAGGAAAGGGGATACTCAGAGAGGAAAGGGGGGACTCAGAGAGGAAAGGAGGGATCTGGAGAGGAAAGGGGGGACTTGGAGATGAAAGGGGGCACCTGGAGAGGAAAGGGGGGACCTGGAGAGGAAAGGGGGGACTCGGAGAGGAAAGGGAGCACCTAGAGAGGAAAGAGGGTACTCAGAGAGGAAAGGGGGGACTCAGAGAGGAAAGGAGGGATCTGGAAAAGAAAGGGGGAACTCGGAGAGGAAAGGGGGCACCTGGAGAGGAAAGGGGGGAACTGGAGAGGCCAGCAGGAACTCGCTGGCTCTTTGTCATGGGTCTTGTTTGCTCTGAGCCTGATGCCCACATTCAGGAGCCCCTTGGTCCTGGCTGGACAGACGTCCACCCCCAGCCCTCCCCGCCATCCTTCCTCGAAGCGTTACCATTTTCTCTTCTCTGAGGGGAGTACCTCGAGAGGAGGAAGTGCGTTGTGTTCCAGTGTGTGCTCGGGGTGCAGGAGGTGTGACGCTGGGCACAGAAGCGAGGTGGGTTACCAGGTGTCCACTTGAACGGCCACCCCAGCTCTCGCTGGGCTCCTCTGTGATGGGAA